AAATTAATGATTCTTGTACTAAATATATATGTATATGTTTACATTTAATTAATATTATTTAAACAAATACTTATAACAAATATATTTTATAAATTTAGTACATTTTTTCAGTGTAGGTGTTATTATTAAATAAGAGTTTCTAAATCTGTATATTTACGTGATTATACTTTGGCTTTAAATAGTTTCGAATTGTTAATAAATTTAACTTGTCTTAAGTTATATTAAGTTTACGTTTCGACACTTTTATTGAAATTTATCATGATAATTACAAAATATAAACCGATAAATGATGGTTAAATAAATATCGCGCTATATCTTTTTCAATCTATTTAAACACTTCTCCCAAATGATATAAAAATATGCTATTGCACTCAGCAGAATAGTTTCGTCTTCTAACTCATAATGAAAACATCGCGCAATCCGTTTTGGGAATATATCATACACTTATTGCATTACTCATGTAGTATTCGTGGAAAATCAATGTGATTCATCTTTCCATTTACCATTATCATCCAGGTAGTTAAATGAAACAGAACAGATGAAATCTGTCAATCGTTCACAATCGTGAATCATTCACGATTTCGATACTATCTTAAAACGTAAATAAAAGACGCGTAAAGTAATGCAATTAAATTCTTCATGTTAAATTCCTTTTATTTATTCATTCCTTTTTATTGTCGTGACACTATGTTATTTATATCAAAATTATGAGATGGAAGGTTAAGGATGTATTAGGTCGTTCTCTGCAAAAAATGACTGGAATTAAAAATTTAAATTTTCCATATAAAAATGAATATTATACACATATACGAAACAATTTAAGGTCAATATATTTATATTTATATTTAACAATACAACTTCGTAATTTGAATGAAAATTGTCTCATTTCATCTTAATTATTTTTTTAAATACACCCATCTACATCTCAATGAAAAATAACTTCTTATCAATATTCTAAAAGTTCTGCCGCCAAACTGTATTACTTTCAAATACAGACAATACGGAGAAATTTTCATAATTTAATTTTGTAAAAAAAAAGTACACGTAATACATCCCTAAGCTCATGATTCGCATCAATCGTTTCCCGTGTCCCTCGAATGATTCTTGGCTGAAGAAAATGAAACGTTTCGCAGCAGACACGAGAGCGAGGCTTACGTACCTGCGCCGGGCATAGTCATGATCAGTTCCTGATGAAGCGTGAGGCCACCACCCGCGGACAGACCGGAGCCCAGATTCACACCCAGCACGCCGTGCTCTTTCTCGTACCGCTTCAGATCTTGTGCATCCTTCGCTCCTACGTGCCAGCGTGCGGCGACGAGATGGGTAGAAGAAGGCAGAGAAAAAAAGAAGACACGCCGCTTCAGTTTTCTCCCGTCTTTTTTCTTTTTGCCGGGCTTCCTCGTGCTCCGCACATGCCTCTCGCTCGCCCGCCCCACGCGCCCGCTCTACGTAGTTTAAATTTGTATAGGAGCAGAAGCTGGCCGAGGGGGTGTACGGATCACTTAGCGAGGAGGTGCGAGAATCGTCACCGTATACTCCGGACTTCTAAGCGCGCAAACATACGCGTCTCGATACTCAATACGCGCTCGTTTGCAAGTAGATGTACGCATAAACTGTGTCTACACATGTACACCCCGTGCCCGTGCATGCGAGAGTACGTGGCACGGCGTACGTCATGTGCATACGTGAACGCATTACGCATCGTTGTATCGCGGAGGGTGTCCATCTCAGATCAGAACACCCACACTACTCTATGTGCCAGATCGCAGGTATCGCACGTCGTTGTGCATTGTCAAAGATGCTTACGTAATGAGGTAAACTAGTTTAGTCAGGTACAATCGCAACGTACGACGCGTCTTCTGCGTCGACCAAGGAGGAAAAGGCCACTCGTTAAAAATTTCCACCCACGGAGAACGACAAATGCGCAATGGAATAAATGTGATGGAATAAATGCGATGCTACGCGAAAAATATAGGAGACACTGTAACAACCGTACAAAACGGTTATTATTACTTTTGACATTTATATTGACGTTTATATGCGTGATAAATTTTTCGTAAAATTAGACGTTTCATGCAAGTTTTTTATTTTTTTTTTTCGTTGACTAAAACGATCTTGAAGTCGTACTTTTTCTAAATTTCTGTGTAACGTTTGAATGTTAAATTGAAAGGAAAAAAACAATAAAAAGTATTATTGTTTACTGTATGAAAAAGAAATTTCCTGGAAGATCTTTTTACTGCATTTTATACAATTTCGTTATTTAATAATTTGATTTAAATATTCATACTTTCAATAATAAAATAAATGCAGAATAGAATATATAAAATATTCTATCAGTTTCGTTTGCGTGCCCATAGATATGAAGTTATATAGAGATACCGAGAATCAATATTGAATTATCAAGCCATCGTGTAGTAAAACTTAACTGAATGAATATCTTTATATGAATGAATTTTATGACAAGTCATTTTATGGTAGATCTTTTTATTCACGTTATAGAACTTAATGATTTTATTCTATTATATACAATTCGACGGTGTTTATAAGCCTTCTTATAATAAGAATACGGATTAATTTTTTATCTTCCCCGAGATTCTCCGTATACAACAATGATAAACTCTGTTATACAAATAACGCGCGTAATCCCAACGTGAATCAACAAAGTTATCATAGCACACCAAAAAGAAATCAAATCTCCTTCAACAATTACTTTGCATAATTGCCCGTATTATTTCGAGATAATTTCCCTCTAGTTAAAGATTATTTAATTTCGCATTAATTGACCGGATTATCGAAGATAATAATCAAATTAAAACGCTAATCACCAAAGGATCGCGTGGGACGCAGCTAAGTATTCGTTCTACACGTGTATTTTTTCGCTCATGGAGTATCGCGGTAATTTAGGATACGTGAAGCGGCTGTAGGAAAAAAAAAACGAAATTTTTATAACGCTCGGCCGCGCGTTTATCGACATTTGGAAACCTCGTGATTGACAGCCACCCGCTTGAAACGTCTGAATAATAAAGTCATAAATCACATTACTATTCGGAAATGTCGTGACAGACGTATTTATTCGCGTGTCACGCTTGCGAACTATGCCCGCGTTGTCTCAACGGATTGGCCGATGCACCAAATATAATTAACGTATATCATAAAAAATTTTAACGGACACACTTTAAGTGTGGCGAGATGCACGCAACGTTTCCAAATCTCATTTTTTGATAAATTGAAGGGTGGTAATTGAAGACGTATCGACGTAGTCTGCGAATCGGCCGGCCGTTAGTAAGTATATGTTTGATCTTATTTGACGGAAGACAGATATAAAGTGCAATTTATGAGAAACAAGTCCAACGTCGGTGCGATGTCCTTCACGTTCCCGTAAATTCAAGTATAATTACGCTGGACGACGATTACGATTGTTTGCACGAAATCGAGATCCTATCTGAATAAAAATGAATAATTTCAAAAGAAATCCTTTCGCCATTCGTATGCGTTGCCGTGGTTATTCAGTTCATTCGATAATCACAGTAACGTTAAGTTAAAATTGAACGAGAAACAAGTGTTTAAATCGCACGGTGACAGAGTAAATATGATGGAAAAAAATCAACGCTTAACGTGAAAAAAATAGAGCTATAACTTTCTTTTAATCTAGTTAACGTGTAGCGCTTTACTCAGTTCTCACCACCTGCAACATTCTAACTCTCTAAACCGTTCCTCAACTTCTCGCGTAATGTAATCAGTGTTGAGGTAATTAAGATCATCAAACTCGAGAAGCGGCTTTCTTGAGATGGAGATCGAAGACGTGCAACGTCACGTGTTCCCGGCACATCTCACTATTCTTTCGTGCAATTTTCCATCCTGAATTTCTCTACCTGACAATTTTTTCATTTATCATTCTAAAAAATAAACCTGTTGCAAAGAAATTTTCCTAACTTAAAAAAATGTCATAAATTAACGTAAATTTACGATCTTGCTGTAATCAAAGAAAACATTACAGATACCATATATACAATGTAAAAGTAAAATAATTAATTAATAAGATTATTCCATTCCCATATGTATACAAGATAAAATTCAAATAATTTTGTTAATCATACAATAACAAGTAATAAATAATTTATTGTTTATAAAAAATTGCGAACTATATTTTTATATCACGATTTTATGCAAATGCCACACAAAAAGATGATAAATACATTTTACATAAAAATGAATTTTAAAAGTATTTAATTTTAAAAAGTTGCACATCGCAAATAATAAATGCACTTGCAAATGAAAAATTAATATACGAAATGTGATTCTACGAATATCTACAGATAAATTATTTTTTCGTAGTAATAAATTACACTTTCATATAGAAATAAATAAAGGAGGGAGTGTCAATAAGGCCACTTTTGTGCCCCCTACGAATTTTCGTTAAATAATTTTTTTTGTATTGTATGCTCATTAGGAATGTAAAAAGTAATTTTATTGAGGAAAAACTCGATCCATAAAGTCCTAATTATTAGTTTAGACATATCGCTATGATACTTAAGCCCTTCTTTTACGACTAATAAGTCAATTAATAAAATATTTTCGTTCATTATACTGTTCTACCAACTTATTAACATCATTTTGAACTATCTATCGTCCCCAAAGTGAAAATGAATACAGCTCATAGTGAAAAAATGAATTTTTTAATTCTTGACGAAACGGTCCAAATCCATCAAATGATGAACCCCACAGATATAGAATAGGTGATCACTATTTGTTGCCTACAGGCTTAAGTCTCTATATTGCGTCAAGATCATAATCATTGCAGAGATTGTTACTTTTATCAATTTTTGTGTTTTTTGATTTTCGTTTCTTTTTCAATTTTTTTTAGAATTGAAAATCCCATTATTGGAGTATCATTTGATAAGTACCCATCAAGAGTGATAAAAAAAATTAATTTCTTCACTATAAACTATATTCATCTTCACCTTAGAGATGATAGACAATCTAAAATGACGTTAACATGATGGCAGAACAGTATAATAAATGAAAATATCTCATTAATTCACTTATTAATCATAAAAAAGGGCTTAAATAGGTATGTGAGAGTGATATATCTAGATTAATAGTTAATTAGAGTTTTATGGCTCGAGTTTTTTCTCATATAATAATTATTTCTAACATTCCTACTGATCATATAATACAAAAAAATTGTTTAATGTAAAATCGTAGCAGGCACAAAAGTGGCCTTATTGACCATCCTTCTATAAAAAGCATTAATTTTTGCAAGTCGCGAATAGTAATTGCAGTAGTATAAATAAAAAACTGATATAAGAAATATGTGATTCTGTGAATATCTATCAATATGATAAGTATTTCGTAATAAATTATACGATATTAATTGCAATCCACAGTTGTGGTAGGATTATTCACAGTGGATTAGCCGGGCGAAACAGTCCCTACACGAACCGACGGGTGATAAAAATCAAATTGATTAAGAGGAATCCAGATTCATTTGGAATTTATCTTTTTTGTAAGCATAGAGTTAAACATACTAATATGATTAGAAATGAATTTTAGAAATATAATCTCGTAAAATAAATGAGTGAGAGTAAAAATTCGCATTGAATAGTACAAAACATAAAATATTAACAACTGTCAAATATTAATAACACTTATTTGGCGGTATGTTACGATCCGTTTTAATTATTTGCCTACTTTTCAATTCGCTATCAATAATTTACATTTAATCGCTCCTTTCTATATATTTTAGTCGGCGCAATTAACATACTGAGAGATGATATACGAATATTTCTGTTATAAATGTCACCGTAAACGGCAAGTAATTAACTTTAACGGAGCTATGTGACCTATAGTAATGCGCATGTGAAAGATTTAGAAGAATTTAAAATTATATATAACTAAATTTATAATCGAATTTATTTAATGAAGACCATTTAATGCTCGATATTTCTTTCCGTTAGATTCTATTTCATCTTGAATATCTTTTACTATAATAGCACGCTTGCAATTAGACCGGGAACACTCATAGTACTCGTAATAATGTCTGATTAATTAACAACGTCACTTTCAATTGTGATTGTTAATTGTAGCAAACCGACATAATAATCCCACGTTACGTGAACAAAAAACTGACACGCTAAGCTTGAAATAAACTAACTTGCGCACTTATAAAAGCTGTGAAGAAACACGCTTCTTATGGGACACCTGATGCTACTCGAGGCCGCGTTTGAAATCTAAGACTAGAAGTATCCAAATTTAACACCATTATATCATGATCGTGCCATCACTGTCTTCTCTCATTTCATTCTACATTCTAAAGGTACAAAAGCGAAATTATAAGCGAAAGCGATGTTTAGTATTGCTTTTTAATATTTCATAACATCAACACAGCAATGAATGCGCTAATAATTCACTGAGAAAAATGTTTTTTAGTTACGCCAATGAAAAGTACAAATAAAATGTATTCCGTCATACTAATCAGAATTTTGATTGTGATTAAATTTCTGGTTGTCTCGATTAGAACATATGATAAATTTAATTATAAGTCTAATTTGTACTTTTCTGGTTGAATCTACCAGAGTTCGAACTTACATAATCATATTTTTTTCTTGTTGTTGTACTTGTCACGATAATGTTGGTCATAAGTAAAATATTCAGCACAAATAAACGCCAAATTCGCGACCAAGGTAGGACTTAATGCCTAATATGTTTGTATGAATTTTACAATTTCCATTTATTATTATTGTTGTTATTATTCACTTCCACATTCATTTCCAACTTGTACTATAATTAGAAAAATTTAATATTTTTGTCGGTACCGCTTTTAATATTATAGATGAAATAGGCTGCCACTATCAAGATCGATGAATATTCTTGCGACTGGCACTTAATCCTGAAAGACTGTATTAGATCCAAACACATGTTTTTCACACCGATTAAAAATTTTTTTAATTCAATATACGGAACACACCGGATTGTAAATCGGAAGCGACGTGCCGTCGGCAAAACATCAATGGCTTCCGAAGAATGGCTGGTCGCAAGTTCAATGCTCATGATCAAAATGCATTTGTTATACTTACATAATTAAATGAAGTAATGATCTTTTAGACATTAGAATGATCCGCGATGATTACATAGTAACATAACAGATAACTAAACCGTGATTAATTCTTGTAATGTTAAAAATCTGATTATAATAATCGATACGATGAACGTGACCGACACATATAATGACTTTAATTTTAATTCACAGTTAAAAATGGATCGATCACAGTACAGTCCATAATTGCGTGTTAAATTCATGTATTCATAACCGGTCCAAAATATACACTCAATTATTCTGGAGAACATTCGAACTATTCTTCTCAGCAGAGTTTAAAGACAATGCTTCTTCGAGAACTTAGATTTAAAACGCGAAGGAAACGCGGTGGATATCGTGAATCTCGGCCAGCTCGAGGATTTCTAAGGGAGAGAGAATTGGAGCTTATTCTTAACACACAAGGATTATTTTAACTGACGTTCGACGGAGATCGGCGGTATTCGAGATCGCTAATTACAATCCGAGCACAGTTTCGTTGACGCACACTAATCAGATGGGATTTTCTGACTCAAGTGTATACGGTACTTACCGGAGATACCGTGTACGGAACCACCGGCGGTGATATTGTTGAGCATGCCGCTCAACCCCGGGAGCGTAGCTCCGATACAGCACGCGGAAGCGGAAATCCGCGCAACACCGCGAGCACCTCACCCTCAACTCTCGAGGAAGCACGGACAAGAAAAAAAAATGCGACTGCGACTGGCGACACGACGCACGGGGCCTTTCCTGGATGAGTATTTAGGTGTACAGAGACGAGCCTGAGGACCGGCCCGTGCCTCAGGAAGGCAAACAGCGAACTGGCCGACTGCCATATCCGAACTCCCCCACTCGCGCCGGCTTGCCAGGTATATCGACATCCCATTCGTTTCAAAGCGCCCACCGTCGATCTCTCCCTTCAACTACCGGCTCGCGAGAGTCCCTACTACCTCGCCTTCTCCGCTGGTGGGCGTGATATTAAATCGCTCCTATCCTTCAGATCCAACACTAGAATCCAGGGAGGTAGCTAGCTGCAACGGGGCCTCTCTTCCAACTCTCGCATTTAACAATCAGAATTTTATTCGTTTGTTCTCAGCAGGAGTCGAATATTAATTATCAAAATATTAATTTATTTTATATTAGAAATATTTTCCCAATATCGTTCCATTATATACGTCCAAGAATATTAAAATAGAACATTAAAATGGCGATAATGAGGTGGAATTTCGAATAGTGCTGAATTAATTCATCCCCTTAAGAGAGAGAGCTATTATGTTTAGATATATATCTTCTCGTCTGCTGAAAGTTTGAAAGTTTCCTCCTAGGAAATTCATTTAACAATGTTAAGAGTTGCCACGATTATAGCAGTGCAAAAGTTAAGTGTAACCGCGCGTTTATCAATCGCTCCAACAGGACACGAGATCGCTTCGACGGAAGAGTAAAAAGAAAAAGGTATGACATCGCCGGTGGCGACGAACGCAGGGAGCGAACCAAGAGTCTCGGATACCCGAGAGGTATCCCGGTCGTCGGCGGTCGGATTTTCTGTCGCCCGCGCCGCGCCGGGCCGCATGGTTGGTAGCCATGCGAGGGTTGCCCATATCCCGAGGTAAACTCTATCCAGGTTACCGTCTCTTTCGCCGTCTCCGCTTTGTGGTAGGCGGTAACCGCCGCGAACGCAGCTCCAATGAGCGGGTAGCCCGCCCTCTGGATGCCCCACTAGTTTTCGCGCGGCGGAGATTTATTGAAATTTTATTTTTATGGCCGGCAAGAACGCGCGCGGGCGCTCGGCACGGCGCGGCGCGGCGCGGCGCGGCGCGGACGTCGCGCGCGGGTGAGAGGAGAGAGATGAGCGAGCGGACGACCGGCCCGAAGGAGACGAGAGAGAGCCCTCTTCTTCTCATTTCCTCCGCCTTTCTTCACCCCCTCCCGAACCCGTGCGTATCGCTCTACCTTCGTCTATCCCACTCATCTCATCTCTCGCTCCCACATCGCAGTGTTTCACGTTCTCTCTCGCCAACGCTATATCCACGCTTTTCCACCCTCGCCTCGCTCGGGCGCGCGCGCGCGCGCGCGCGCGTGCTCGCTCTCTCACCGGAATCTCGCCCGGCCGCGATCTCGCTTTCTCGCTGCGGCCCGCCTTATATACGCTCTACGTCCTTTTAATTCAATAGCTACCCCTTTTTATAACGCGGCAGCCCCCGTGCAGCGCGAACGGAAGTCACGATGGCTCCTAACGCTTCGTTTGACCCGCCAACGCGCGATCTCGCGCGATCCTACATGAACGGCATTCCATCCTATCTGCGAGGATCACTGGGGATGCGTGTAACGTTGTAGTTTTGTAATTACGCTGGATAATGTTCATGTTAATTTATTAAAATCTCAGATTCGCTCTGAGTAGCCACGTTTACTTTTCAGTCCGTTCGCAGAAAACAGATGGAAACAGTTACATTTTGTATTTTAGCCAACTGTATTTATAATGTATCTCCTTATAAAAATGCACAACTTATTCGTTAGTTGCACGCACACATCTAAAACGATCATTGTTCAGCACATTTATGTCTACATTATACAATTTATTTTCAGATATGAATTTCAACATAATTAATTATTTATTTTATAAACTACTCCTCTTTAATGTTACGTTTCAATACATACATTTTCGATATTTAAAAATGTATACTCTAAATTTAATCAACTTTATCTGAGATTTTAATTCCGTAATTAATTAAATTCTCTTGTAACCTAACACGGATCAAAGCATCAATATTTTTTATAGTTCTATTAAAAGTGATATTTTTATTAAAGTAATAGATGAATATGGAGACTATTTTGCTTTTAGTGCATTAAATGACTTATTAATATCACAAATTAATATACAGAATATTTCACTTCTATAAAATTAAACTTTAATGATAAATTCTTTCATGAATTTAAAGTCGCATTTACATCGATAATTTGTACGAACCATCGTATACATTAATAATTTGTAAACAACAAATAGCTAATATATTCATATTAAATTGATATTATACCGTATAATACATTGTATTAATATATTATATTAATTGTTATTTTTCACAAATTGACAAATCTCAAATTAGATGTTTGTTTTCTAAAATTGTATTACTGTAATAAGCATAAATAATTAATGCCGAGACGTAGATAAAAATAACTTTTATAATAAATTACAAATATTATCTTTTGCACTAAAATTATTACTAGATTTAGATTCTCTTTAACATATTGTATATAATATTAATATTCTTATAAGAATGCTTATTAGCATAAAAAAAATTATTAAATTGCCCATCAATTTAATAGGTGGTATTACTATTTTGGTTCTGCTCATGAATGCGTTTCACGACTAAAAAAAGATTTTTGCGCGCAGTTTGCAGAATTAGATAATATGTATATAAATTTACACAGAAATATTTAAGTACTAAGATATAATTTAACCGAATGTAGGATTCCTCGTATTTAATTAGAAAAATTATTTTATTTCTACTTCTTGTAAAAATAATTTCCACAATTTTCATTAAAAAACCAAAATAATCGAGATTTAAAATGCTATATATAAATCATGTAACTTAATGGCTTTTAGCTGTCTTTTTTTATGACATCTCTTTTTATACATACACACACACACACACACACACACACACACATATATACATATACGTATATATAAAATAGTTAAGTCTGTGTTAAATTCTTTGGAAAAATTCTTCGCTGCTTTAGCTGAAACAAATAAATAGCTTATAATATATTCTTTTACATGTTATTCTAAATGATTTTATTGTTAATATAGTAGAATAACATTAAACAAATTTTTATTATTGACAGATACAACTAGTTGTTTTTTTAATATCCTTAAAAACACAAAGAAAGTTAGGAAAAGAGTAGCGAGCGTATGCAATCTATGCCGTGTTATATTCATAAGATGCCACATAGCCATACCGCTTCTTGCGAAAGGCGAGACAAGAGAATGGTCAAAGAAATTTAATAAACACAATAAAGTAGGGTCATCGTACAAGTTTTCTCGTTAATTTAAAAATAATTGACGAAATGGTTTTAATTGACAAAATTTAATATTTCCTCGCTCGTATGCTTCGCGTCTTTTAATTAGGTACATTATTATTTGCTGGTAGAACAATTTGAGATTTTCTTTTTTGATAATGTTTAATTTTTTTCATTCATTGTTTTATAATTATGAACAAATATTCATCACGTCTTTGATTATTTTTATTTTAAAGATAAAATTTTAAATTCTTTCGAATCACGTACGCACACATATTTTATTTAAAAAGTGAAAATGTCAGTCTAGAAAATGAGTGAGATTTATTCTAAAAGTTTTAAAGAATAGGAGAGATCGGAGTCAATTAACTATAGGGGTAAGTAGAATAATCGAGGCTACACTAAAAACAAAACACGCGTAAACATATCTAAGCACGCAGCAGCGACTGTCCGCTCAGTCTGCTGTAACATTTTGTTGCGAATATATCTATGATAGAAATTACGCTATAATTTAAAAAAATCGTATACCTAAGTAAATATTTTTGTTCTCAAAGTTTTTGTATTACAATCGTATGTGATATTGTCTGAGATATTTGATTTCTATTTAGATAATAAGTGTAGTTCGTAATAAAGTCCAACAGATTTTTTTTGTTTATATGTCTTTGTTGTTATGCGTATCGTATATTGTTAATATTTTTACAAAATGAACAGATGGGGACAGTAACTAACCACAGCATGGAACTGTATGACTCATTTAGTGACGACTCTTATAATATACTTACTCAAAATTTTATTCCTTTAAAGAGATTTTTCTCGGTGATAAATATTATAAGTTTAATTCCCTCATGTCTAATCTCGAAAATTAGGCCTATTCGACGTGTTTTTGCACGAAATGAATAAATTTTGTAAAAAGAAGCATTGTTCTACCCTGCGAAACAAATGTTTGTGTTTAAAATATATTTTTATAAAAGTTTTATTAATATGTAGTCAAAGATGTAGCTTAAAATACGTTAATCTTTATTTTAATAATCTCAGTCAAATTACCTCGATCTAGGGACTAGTGGAATCAGATGAAATGCATTAAAAAAATACTAATAATAATTTTTTTTCATATTAGTTATTAGTTTCCCCTTATTATTAAAATATTATTAAGTCAAATGTATGTAGTAACTGGTGTAGAATTCATTTTTTCGATAAGTCTCTTAATTTTGTCTGTAAAAATTCGAAACTAAAAAATGAATTTATTAGCCCCGATCTTCCCTACATATTATCTGCCCTTTGCAACAACTTTATTTATTTTTATTTCAAATACATTATCCTATTGTTGGATAATCATAAAAATTGCAAAATATACATTTATGGTATTATGTAAAAGGGAGATTTGTACAGAGTAATTTTTTTATCGAGCGTGTAAAGAAGCATCGCGAATATAATATAACGAAGATGTAATTTTTAATTCTACTTTTCAGAGTAACGCATCATACCTCTTGCGGACTCATTTTTCGTTTATTTACATCACATTCATCGCACTAATGAACGCAGACGCAAACGCTCGAAAACATCGTAGTCGGCATATGCAAATATATAGCTAATTGGATTAAAGATAATTAACGTCGCTGGTCCGAGTATTCGATCACAGGGCCGTCCC